GTGTTTATATGTGATTAGTGTGTGTGTGTGTGTTTTGAACCCTTCAGCCTTTTAGTGGCATTACTCACCTGTAGTTATATGTTTATATATACAGTATAGACAGATGCATAGATATATTTTATACCTAATGTGTGTGTGTCTTTTTAATGGCATCCTACCTACCTATAGACAGAACTTACTTTTTAGCAATGGTTTTCCTGTGTGCCCTTAGTCCTGTCTAGGTCCCATGTGTCAGTATAGTTATAGGGTCTGTAGCTTGCCAGACACAGATTGACCACCACAAGCAACGCAGAAAATAATTGGACTTGAATGGGGGCCTGCTGGATTAACATTCTTGAAAATTTCTCAATCTGTATTTGGGCCTTTCAAGTTTTCCATTGTAGATCAATGAAAAGCACCAATGGTTAACCCTTCTCTGACAACCCCCCCCCCCCCCCCCACACACACACATACACACCTCTGTGGCTGCATGACATTAAGGAAACATGACAGAAGATATTGTTGGTTGTATTACTACACAGATTTGATTTTTTTGCTTTTTCAGTTGTGATCAGTCATCTCTGGGCATTGTATATCCCATAGACTGGATGGTGTAAGAAATCACAGACATATGAGAGTCCTTCATGATCTGGGACAACAGTCCTGCCATACCTACTAGTGTCTTGTCTCTACCTACAGTGATGGGTCCCAGTAATGACATGCAGTGCTGTGAAATCTGACAGAATCCCCAACAATCAGTGGGGACATTGTTTCTCCCCATCACACAATCACATTGAGTCTGCCAGTGTGTCAGGTCATAGCCAAATGGCGCTTCCATTCTGCTCATTCATCAGCACAAGCGGTGCCATGGGCGGCCCAGGCATTGTAGCCTCAAATCCTCCTTATTATACAGAGGCCCAGTTTTATTGTAAGGGGATTTGTCAGCAGAGATTCAGTATCCATACATGTACACCTCGCCTCATTCCCTGCTGGAACATCATGTAATACCGGTCTTACAGATGAATGTGGAATTGTCCTCTTAGAAAGCCCACTTCTATACAGGCCACAGGGGATTGGGAGAGTGGAGGAGGCCAGGGAGCTGTGTGTCTTATTTACTTTCCTGCTGATTGATATGGAAATCCTCTAGCACTAGTGTTTGCCTGCTCTCCATTGCCCTAACTGCACAGCTCACCTTTCTATGGAAGAGGCAAACTGCAAACCAAAGCCTGCATAGGACAAAATGAAAATGAGTTGGTTTAATGGAAACAAAATCCTTTGTAAGAAGGATAAGTACGTGTACAAAATAATCATTCCCCAGCAATTACTGGCAAGCCACTATTACCTACTACAGTGGCTGCTCTGAGCACAGCAGATGGCAATGGATGGCCAAGGTGCTTTCCTTTGCAGTGTTCCTTCAAATAAATGCTATTAACAGATACATGTTTCTATATGACTTTGCGATGTGTATGTGTGTCTAACTTATCAACAGATACATGTGCCTATATGTCTATGTAAGGTGTATGTGTCTAACCCATCAACAGATACTTTTCCTATATGTCTATGTGATGTGTATATGTGTCTAGCCCTTCAACGGATACATGTGCCTATGTGTCTATGTGATGTGTATGTGTTTAATTCATCAATAGATACATGTGCCTATGTATCTATTGATGGATGTACCTATGTGTCTATGTGATGTGTATGTGTCTAATCCATCAATAGATACATGTGCCTATCTGTCTATGTGATGTTCATGTAACCCATCAACAGATACATGTGCCTATATGTCTATGTAATGTGTATGTGTCTAACCCATCAGCAGATACCTTTCCCATATGTCTATGTGATTTGTATATGTGTCTAACCCATCAACAGATACATGTGTCTATGTGATGTGTATGTGTCTAACCCATCAACAGATACATGTGCCTGTATGTCTATGTGATGTGTATGTGACTAACCCATCAACAGATATATGTGCCTATATGTCTATGTGATGTGTATGTGTCTAACCCATCAACAATACGTTTCCTATATGTCTATGTGATGTGTATATGTGTCTAACCCATCAACAGATACATGTGTCTATGTGAAGTGTATGTGTCTAACCCATCAACAGATACATGTGCCTATATGTCTATGTGATGTGTATGTGTCTAACCCATCAACAATACTTTTCCTATATGTCTATGTGATGTGTATATGTGTCTAACCCATCAACTGATACATGTGCCTATGTGTCTATGTGATGTGTATGTGTCTAATCAATCAATAGATACATGTGCCTATGTGTCTATGTGATGTTCATGTTGCCCATCAACAGATATATGTGCCTATATGTCTATATGATGTGTATGTGTCTAACCCATCAACAGATACTTTTTCCTATATGTCTATGTGATGTGTATATGTGTTTAACCCATCAACAGATACATGTGCCTATGTGTCTATGTGATGTGTATGTAACCCATCAACAGATATATGTGCCTATATGTCTATGTGATGTGTATGTGTCTAACCCATCAACAGATACATGTGCCTATGTATCTATGTGATGTGTATGTAACCTATCAACAGATATATGTGCCTATATGTCTATGTGATGTGTATGTGTCTAACCCATCAACAGATACATGTGCCTATGTATCTATGTGATGTGTATGTAACCTATCAACAGATTAATGTACATATGTGTTTATGTGATGTGTATGTAACCCATCAACAGATATATGTGCCTATATGTCTATGTGATATGTATGTGTCTAACCCATCAAAAGATACATGTGCCTATATGTCTATGTGATGTGTATGTAACCCCATCAACGGATACATGTGCCTATGGCCTATGTGTCTATGAGATGTGTATTTAATCCATCAACAGATACATGTGTCTATATGTCTATGTGATGTGTATGCTTCTAACCCATCAACGGATACATGTGCCTATATGTCTATGTAATGTATAAGCCATCAACAGATACATGTGCCTATATGTCTATGTAATGTGCAAGTGTCTAACCCATCAACAGATCGCAGATACAAGTGCAAATATTTATATGAGTCTAATTCATCATCAGATAGGTGTGCCCATATGTTTATGTGCTGTGTATGCATCCTGTCCATCAACAAATACTTGTTCATGTATGTCTGTGTGCTTTGTAAATGTCTATATGTGTCTAACCCATCAACAGATAAATGTTATGTCTAGCTATCTATCTGTCTATCTTTAATTCCTTCCTTTCCTATCTACCATTTTTTTTTACCCTGTCTAATAAACTAAGCTAGGAAAATTTAATTTAGTTGACTGTACTTAAGGCATATTTTAAACTCAACATATAAAGGATGGAAAAAAACCTTTCTGGTTTGCGTTTTTGATTGGAGCTTTCTGACAGAAAAAAAAAACGCTAAACTCTCCAAAACTCGCCTAAACTGTGTGCAAAAACTCCCTATATCAGCGTTTTTTTCTGCCAAGGGAACTGTTTTTTTTTTTTTAAAGCCTTGTGCATGAAGCATAACACTATGTAAACAAAAAATACTCATATTAAAAAGACCCCTCCATACACATTTTCATGTATTAAATAAAATAGGTAATTTTTAATTTATTGCTTATTTGTTTTTGTTGTTTTAGTTTTTTTTTTAGCAATAAATCTTTACCGTTTTTTATATGTTACAGTTCATCATTCAAATAAATACCCTATTCATTGATACAGGTGTGTTATTTGTCTTGGTGAACAATACTGATCAGAAATGTCACAGGTAATTGCATAAATCATTCTTAAATATAAAAGCTCTCTTATTTTCCTAAGTGAATATTAAATATATCAAGAACATATATCACACACATATCAATAATCACAAACACATGATATATATATATATATATATATATATATCTAGATATATATATATAGATATATCATAGGCTTGTGTCTTTTTTCAACTTATGATTTAATTTTGATATATACGTCTATGACCTTTAGTTAACATTAAAGGATTTTTTAATACATAGAAGGACAAATTGCTGTGACAGTAGTCCCTCAGCACAGACATAAGCACTCACACCGCCATACTATAGAGTATCTCATATATAGGAAGTCAATTAATTTCTTCTATCTAATTCCAAAATATTCCAAAATGACAACGCCTGAATAGAAAAAAATATATAATATAATATTCACATTTTAAGGATATTCTCAATATTGGTGTCACATAAATTGATAAATTAAATTCAGAAAGGTCTGAAAAGTGATATGGATAAGTTGCCAAAAATTCCATAGAAAAATTATGCGAGGAGAAGCAGTTTAATTCTACATATCTTCTATATAACATAACATTTATTAGGTTTTCATCTTTTTTGTATGTGAAATAACCAGCAGTTTAAAATGTTATAGTTGATGGCTTTGTCCTAAAACCCATTAATTAACAGGTGTCTAGCATTTTCTAAAATAATTTGATTTTACTTTTTAATCTAATAGATATTTTATTACTGGATTGTAAATACACAGTCTTATTTTCCATTATTTTTGCATTTATGTTAAAGAAGAAAAAACCCGCTTCATTCAATTGTGAATAATTTATTCGATTCGTTTTGTTATAATCTATATCGAAGCCAGATATCTAGGCAAGATACAGCATCCAATATTATGAAGAGGGGCCAGTTAACAATTTGCTCTCAAATAATAAACATCCATAGTTGAATTTCTATTAAAAAATCTTGATTGCCTTGGAATTTTTTTTTTTCTTTACAACCAAAAATGTACAGAATACTAAAAAACTAAATCTGCCAAGTCCAACAAAGAGATTACAATTTCACATCGAACGTAAAAAATAACATACAACCGCTGTCCCTTTTTTTTTAGTGGAAGGGGACAGTATTGTCATTATGGGGTCAGGAATCGTCCCCAAGCTTTTAGCATAGCCCTATGTACAGGCAGGTGATGGTCATAGAAAAAGTATTTGAAGTCCAATCCTTCTCTCCATTTGACGTTTTGAGTACCATCCATCCAGTTTAATAACTATCTCTATCCTTCCCCTTCTCTTTTTAGATTGCTCAGTGAAACCCTCTTATAAATCCGTCCCCCCAAAGTACTGAAGGTTTTTTTTTTTTTTTTTTTTCTTCTTTTTTTTGCCATTTTTTGAAGAGCTGAGGAGGGTTGTTTGGGGACAGAGGGGCCGAGGCTGGTTTCTTTCACCCATGTCCTACCATATAGTAAGGTGGAGCAGGACATGGCTGTGCCATAGTCAGAACTGGAAGAGTTTAAGTGAGACAAGTTGGTGACCTGGCTCTGAAGGTTGGATGGGCTATTGGAGTGCTGACCCATGTCTGGAGAATGACCCTGCACTGTTTGTCTGGTGACTTTGATGCTGCCCCAAACTGTTGGTGCCTACTGTGAGGGCTGCCTGTTGCTGGTGGCTCTGCAGGGCAGCTGTGGGGGTATTAGAGCCAGCCTGGCATGGTTTCCCGTCCTTCACCAATACTGGGACTGCTACCCGTCTTGGGGACTGTTGCTGCTGACATGAACTGTTGTCCTGCTGCATCTGTTGTTGTGCTGCCTTGTCCTTGGCTTGTCTCTTCATCTTGTAGCGATGATTCTGGAACCAGATCTTCACCTGAGTTGGGGTGAGGTGGATCATACTGGCCAAGTGTTCCCTCTCTGGGGCCGACAGGTACTTCTGCTGCTTGAACCGTCTCTCCAGCTCGTAGACCTGGGCCTGGGAGAACAGGACCCGGCGCTTCCTCCTGGGGGTGCTCTGCAATGGGGCCATACTCTTCCCGACATCTCCCAGGGAGCCCATGTTACCCAGACCTCCCATATTCATCCCATTGGAGGGACCCATGAAACGGGATACTGCAAGAAGAGCACAGGACAACTCATGAGAACCTTACACAACCATATAGATAGACAGACAGACAGACAGACAGATAGATAGATAGATAGATAGATAGATAGATAGATAGATAGATAGATAGATAGATAGATAGATAGATAAGATAGATACATTATGGAGAGAGAGAAATAGAGAGAACAATTTTACATTATACACACACACACACACACACATATATATATATATATATATATATATATATATATATATATATATATATAATTTTTTTTAAATATACAGGTCTTAACTTAAATATATAGATAATGAAGATAGGAAAACAGAGAATGGAATGGAAATGCAGATAGAAAGAGACTTATAGATCAGTAACAGTAATACTAAAAAATGGGAAAGGAAGGAAGAAGGGAGAAAAGAAAGAAAGAAAGAAAGAAAGAAAGAGACAGAAAGTGACAACTGATAGGTAGAAGATGAAACGATAGATAGTGAACTAGGCAATGGAAATATATGGCAGAGAATAAGATATAGACAGATTAAAAGATACAATAGATAGATTATTTATATGCAGATAATGAAGATAAAGAAAGAGAGGATGAAAAGGAAGGAAGGAAGGAAGGAAGGAAGGAAGGAAGAAAGAAGGAGGAAGGAAGGAAGGAAGGAAGGAAGGAAGGAAAGAGGGAAAGGAAAAAAGGAAAAAAGGAAGAAAGGAAGAAAGAAAGAAAGTAAAAAAGAAAGAGAAAGAAAGAAAAAGACAGAGGGAAATTGAATAGATAAATGTAGAGAGAGAGAGAGAGAGAGAGAGAGAGAGAGAGAGAGAGAGAAAATATATATACGTATAGAAAGGTGAAGAAAGATAAAAACTTGTCAGAGATTCTAACGTTTTCCTAATATACAATATGTGTGTGTGTGTAAAGCTAATGTATAATATAAATGGTTGGTTTGGAACTTTGGACAAATAGAAAGATAGATAGATAGATAGATAGATAGATAGATAGATAGATAGATAGATAGATTGATTGATTTTGGAAATAAAGAAGACTAATAAGTTGATGAAAAATCGGTAGAGAGCTAAGCAAACAGAAATAAAGAAGGAAAGAATATTATATAAATCTGTATATTTATAGATGTACATAAATATATAGATACAAGCAAACAGAGAGAAAAAAAGGAAGGAAGGAGGGAAAAAGAAAAGAAAAGAACGATGTCTTTATGGGAAGAAGTAAATCTATAAATCTAGGAAGGACATATAACATGGGCAGAGTTGTAAGAAAACACAGTGGCGGAAAGTTAGATGTGTAGCTGAACCGTCTGTGTGGAGATGAAATGAGGATGAGGACTATAATGTCTCGGCCATGTCTCGGTGTGACTGCACCCATCATCTCATACGATGTCGGTAGTGATCGGGTGATCGTCAATTTACCGTCCTTCTGCACTTATCACACCAAATGACACATGTACTGATACTACAATTGCTAGTACGAATATTGAATCTATAACAATTGTAGAGAATATGAATATATGTAAATATATATATATATATATATATATATATCTCTCCCCCCAGCCACAGAGAAGAGTTTGCACTTACTTGTAGAAAATCTGGGGTCTGGGTTGGTCCCATACCATCCAGTAGCCGAACCATTCCTCATGGTCTCCTGGTAGGGTGGCAGCTCGCTCATATTGCCCAGGTTGCCCAGGTTGCCATTGCAGTAGCTCCCCATGGTGGTGTGGGATAACTGGGGGACCCCTGCCGCTGTCATGTGGTAGGCTGCACTCACTGCTCCATTGTGGCTCATAGCATGTTGCTGCATGGAAGGCTGAGACACCTGAGATTGCCTGTAGGCAGCCAGGGGAGTCCCTAAGCCAGTGCCCTCCATAGCCACCTTCTTGTAGCTCTCCTCCAGAGGACTCAATATATCAGACACTGAGAAGGGAGTAGTATGCTTGGGACTCATCGACATGTTTCTGAGACTGGGAGAAAAAAAAAACTCTCCCTCTCTCTCCTCCTCTTTTTTTTTTTTTCGCCAAATATTCTGGTGTTGCCTTAACGCCGATCTTGTTGGGTGTACACGTAAGAGAGCGGCTGAAGTCCGCCTTAATTGGGCTGAGTGGAGCTCAGAGCTTTCTTTGCGTTTGTTTTAGCCAGGCGCCAGGTTTTAGGCAGCAGAGGCGGGGCCAGCGCTGAACGCCAGACAATGGAGCCGCACCGAGCGCTGCTAATTAGCTTACATGCTGATCACACTGCAAACACACCTTCCACCGGCCGGAGCCAACGACTTCCCCGACAATAAAGACACATTCACCGGCCACAAATCAAATCACACTTGTATAGCTATCCATATAACTAAGGGACATCTCTCCACATATCTCTCCTATCTTCTATCTATCTATCTATCTATCTATCTATCTATCTATCTATCTATCTATCTACCTAATTATGTATCATCTATCTACATATCTTTCTTATTCGTCTATCTACATAACTATGCATTATCTATCTATTTATCTATCTATCTCTAACATATATCAACATATCTATCGTATTCACCTATATGTTAGTATCTATTCATCTCCCCCCCCCCTCTCTCTCTCTGTTTATTAATGTTATTATTAATAACGAAATGTGCTTAAATAAGGTAGAACATTGTTTCTGGTTATTATTGCACACAGATAGAAAGATAGATAGATAGATAGATAGATAGATAGATAGATAGATAGATAGATAGATAGGAATTTTGTCATACAAATATAAGAGAAAACATATTGCTGGTAAATATGTAGCAATTGTATTATTTATTTTCTAAACTTGTTTATGGGGCCAAAACATATTTTTGTTCGTATTTGTTTAAACATTTTGTACATTTGACTTTTATTAGTAACTTATAGTAAGTATCAATATATTTGCCATTTAGCTGTCAGCTTTCTAGTATGTCTATATATATTTATCTACCTATTTCACCATCTGACAACATTGAGTTATATGTCCGACATCTCTGTTTATTCGTGTATTATTCATAAAAATGTATGTGTATTTCTATCTATCTATCTATCTATCTATCTATCTATCTATCTATCTATCTATCTATCTATCTATCTATCCATCCATCTATCATCTACCCTTCTGTCTCTCTCTCTTCCCACCTAATCGTCTGTCTGGATGTAATGAGAAGTCTGAGGCATGCTAGAAGAGGAGATCTCTCTCTAGGTCACCTCCCTGGAAGTAATCTAATAAAATCTTATATTAAGAGCTGCACGGCAGAGGTGGTGCGGTTAACCCAATGACTTTAGAGCATTTTAGAAGTATTTAGTAATTGCTCTTGTAAATGTGTTTATACCATGCTTGCTCATACTTAAAAATGCAAAAGTGCTCTTGCTACCCTGGAATAACTAAATATCTTTGTCTAAAGTGCTGGTATAAATGGTCGGCTGCTTTGTGGTCGTGCTTCATATTAGTACATGAGGATCATTTTGCTTCAATTGGGGAGCTCTTGTTCAGTAGGCAAGGCTCCGCTTAGGAGAGTGCGCTGTGTTTCTCCTGTTCTCCCCATACTGCAGTTAACATCCCTCAAGTACAACCCTACGACTGATTGTGCTTAAATCTCTCCAAGAGGCGAGATGGAGCAGAACTCCCTCCTATACCATCAATCAGGTGTCAGGAGCCCCTGGGCACCGCATTCTTTGCCATATATATATATACAAACAATATGCTGTATATTAAAGATGGAAGCTTTGATGGCTCTCAGTTAATTGTAGACTGTGTCCTGCCTATACTTCGCCTTTCTCATTGACTTGTATTATGTTCCTGGACTGCAGAGATCCCTGAACATTACAACAATCACTTCGTACAATCCCATCATCCTTCTACTTATTTCTAACGAGCCTACTGAAAGCCCCACTACTTTACATACAGCAACTGTAACAGAACACATGTGAGGATGTGAGCAGTCCGCTGTAATACACAGAAAAGACTACAATGTAACTGATATTAGGAGATGAACACTGCTATTGTTAGTGCTGCTGGCATGTCTGCTATGGAAGATTCCATTGTACCAATTCATTTTACATCTCTCTCTACTTCTACCAGCCCGAATTTATCCATTATCTATCTATCTATCTATCTATCTATCTATCTATCTATCTATCTATCTATCTATCTATCTATCTATCTTCTTATCGCTATTTCTTTCTTCCTTTCTTTCTTTTACTTATGTAGATATATATATATATATATATATATATATATATATATATATATATATATATATATATATATATATATATTTATAAAAAATATATCTATGTATTGTATATATATATATGTTTTTTTTTACTATATATATATATATATATATATATATATTTTCTTATATGTATCTGTCTATCTATCCTTCTATGATATGGATCTGTGTATCTCTATATTTTTTTATTTTGTTTGTCTCTCTCTAATGTGTATATCCATCTATCATTCTGTCTTTATGTATGTATATATTTATTTCTCTCTATCTCTCCTCCTTCTCTCTCTATATATACATCTTCCTTTCTTCTTTCCTTCCTTTCCACGCTCTCTTTCTTTATCTTCATTATATGTTTGTAAATAATCAGTCTATCTATTGTATCTTTTAATCTGCCTGTATATTTTTCTCTGCCACATCTCTCCATTGCCTAGTTCTCAAGCTATCGTTTCATCTTCTACCTATCAGATGTCACATTCTTTTTTCTTTCTTTCTTTCTTTCTTTCTTTTTTTTCTTTTTCTTTTCTTTCTTTCTTTCTTTCTTTCTTTCTTTCTTTCTTTCTTTTCTTTCTTTCTTTCTTTTCTTTCTTTCTTTCTTTCTTTTTCTCTCTTCCTTCCTTTTTTCCTTCCCTCTCTCCTTCTTTTCTTTCTTTCTTTCTTTCTTTCTTTCTTTCTTTCTTTCTTTCTTTCTTTCTTTCTTTCTTTTCTTTCTTTTTCTTTCTTTCTTTCTTTCTTTTCTTTTTCTTTCTTTTTCTTTCTTTCTTCCTTCCTTCCTTCCTTCCTTTCTTTCTTTCTTTCTTTCTTTCTTTCTTTCTTACTTTTTTTTCTTTCTTTCTTTCTTTCCTTGTTTTTTTCATCCCCTCCTTTCTTTCTTTCTTTCTTTCTTTCTTTTTTCTTTCTTTCTTTCTTTCTTTCTTTCTTTCTTTCTTTCTTTCTTTCTTTCTTTCTTTCTTTCTTTTCTTTCTTTCTTTCTTTCTTTCTTTCTTTTTCTTCTTTCCTTCCTTCCTTCCTTCCTTCCTTCCTTCCTTCTTTTTCTTTCTTTCTTTTTCTTTCTTTCTTTTTTTTTTCTTTTTCTTTCTTTCTTTCTTGTTTTTTTCATCCCCTCCTTTCTTTCTTTCTTTCTTTCTTTCTTTCTTTCTTTCTTTCTTTTCTTTCTTTCTTTCTTTCTTTCTTTTCTTTCTTTTCTTTCTCCATACACATGTCTCTCTATATACATTTTCTGTTGGTAAGATGTCTTTTCTCTAAGAAGAAGGCAATGCAATATCTGTGCTGTGTGCACACACGATGGTCTGTGGCCCCGGAGGAGATAGTGAATGGGAATGGCAGTGCAGTTGTAGTGGGTCCCACTCTCAGCCTCTCTGGTCCTTCATGTAATGATGTACACAGGAGTCCTTGGGATTTCTCTGTGTGAGGGACTCTCATAGCAGAGTGCTCAGGCTCCACAGCTCACATCCAGGTACTTCAAATACTAAGGAGAGGTCTGGGAGGAAGGGACAAGATGGGACTGTGGAGGTCCTACATAGCACACATTCTGCATGTCAGCGGTCATCGGTGCAGCCATGGAAGGATTCATTCCTCTTCTATATCACACTTGATGACAGCTCAGCTTCCCAGCAATAAACCTCCATACATGTGTGCTCATCCTCCCCGTAATGAGGGGATGTATAAAACTGTACTGATCTTTGAACTGAACTCTATACACATGCTTTTAGTTTTCCGACAATAACCTGGACAGAACAGCTCGATCAATCCCCCAATCGCCTTTGAACTTGTTTACACGACTACTTGTTTTTAACTAAATGGAATAATAAACTCTATCATTTGCATTCATATTACTTCAAACCAATAAGGACAAACAGATAAAAAAAGGATTTTTCTGCACAGAGAAAATGACATTGCATCATAATAACACTTTGTTCTGTGAAAGCGGAAAGTTGCCTCCACAATAGAGAAGGCTGAATTGTGCCCCTCGTACTGCTGGAGCCTGGATGTCTGGCTGCTGATTGGTCCTTCCCCAGCATCATAGGATATTGGTAAGTAGAAAAGAACACAACACAGATAGGCTCATTATTGAGAAATACCTTATTGAAAGCTAATTAGTGCAACTTAATTGGGCATTGCAGATTGATTTTATTTGCTATGTAAAAAAAAGTTGCAATTAAATATTATATATTGTATTTTATTACTTTATAATATTATAAAATTGTATATTGCTATACTAGCCAAGTATCTAATTCTTATATTACAAATAAATATAATATCAATATTGCAATACATAGTTTTATCACAACGTGTTTTTTTGTTCTTTTTTTACATGAACATTTGTATGTGTATCATATAATTATTATTATTTATTTAAGAAGAGAAAATGGCATCTTTTTTTTTATTTAGATAAAGAAACGTTTAATTAAGTAACGAGTAGTATATAATACTGACTATTTAACATTGCAAATTGCATTTATTATTTTTAAGCAGTCTGTGTCTAAGTAGAAGATAGTTGAATTTCTATTGCAAAAACATGGACAATGGGAGGAACAAATGATCTAAAAACTTTGAAAATATTAAATCAATTATAAGATATTAGAAAGAAGAGTGATCTGCAATTATGGATGTTATAATATTTATTATTCTTTTTATAGATTTAAAACCTTTTTTTTTTTGGTTGTCTTTTCTGAAGACAACAGGTAGAAATATCAAACAGTGAGTTTTGATTGCTGAGCCTGTCAATG